TCGCTGGCACTGAGGATATCAAGTAAAACAGGTGTGTGTATCCATCAAAGCTGCAGTACCGCGTGTACAGCGAGCTGCCACGCTCCAGCGTCAGCTTCCCGATCGAGTAAAAACCAGACCCCCCATACCTCAATGCACGCGCCTTGACGTTGCTGACCAACAGCGAGGACGCAGTCAACACGACTTCGTGCAGCATTACTACGCTCAGCATTTTATTCACGGTGTCCGGCAAATAGACCGCGGAAGACTGCACCGTGTCAACCTCTGTGACGGCGATGTCGCAGTGCTGCGGGAGGGCGAGTGCAAATACAACAACGGAGGACCGCATCACCGTCTGGCTCACGCGTATCAGGACGCCGGCTGACTCGGCCACCTCAGTGCCACCAAAAAACTGCAGCGCGGCACCCTCACGGAATGTGCATCCGGTGAGCGTGATGTTGATGGGGAGATGCAGCGGCATACTGTTGAGGGAAAAAGTCAGCAATGCACCCACGCCGCTGAATTTCACACCCACGTAGCAGTGGTGCGTCTTCCACATGTTCAGCGTGAGGCTCTTCAGCGTCTGGTTCACCACGCAGCTCGTGTCGTCGTCGACGGCTCTCTCCGCTACGGGCGGCACAACCGTGTCGGGCACCTCGAAGGGAAGACACAACGCGCCATGCCATCCGTCCTTGCAGCTGCACGAGCACGAGCTGCGGTCCACCGACTCCGTCCCGGGCATGTAGCACGCCGCGTCGTCGTTGCATGTGCCACAACTAAACACCACCACGTCCTCCGGAAACACACCGTCATACGAGACCTCCTCACCGCCCTGCAGGTTGCATCCAACCACAAAACGCGCGGGCGACGCCAAAAAGGTGTTTGTTGGAAGAGTCCTAGCGAAGAAGGCGCTTCTTTCCACCTGACGGTTGTGTGCAAGCACCACGGTGGTGCCGTTGCCCAACAACCAAATTTTGTGCTGAGAATACGGAAAGAATAATAATGGATCTGTGCCAACTTCATTGCCCTCCACACGCCACTGCGCACCACCCTGAAGAGTCACAGAGCCGTCCAAAAACACCAGTGTGGAATCAAAAAGCTCCATGCTACCAACAAATTCGCAGTCCGCCACTCGCAGCAGCCCCGCGGAGCTCACGGCGGTATCGCCAAAAAAATAAACGCCATTGACCGCGCTCATCATGTTTTTCTCCACGTCAATGTAGCCGCCGTTCTTCACAGCAACAATGCTAAAATAAATAGCAGCCTCAGAACTGTCAACCCCACCCGTTGCACGCAGCGTATTTCCCTTCACGATGATCCCGCCACCATCAACAACAGCAGCATTGATAAAATTAACTGCGTAA